CTTCCTGTCTGCCCACCTGCCAGTCTTCCTGCTCTCCTGCTCTTGCACATGAGACTGTCTGTGCTTCACTGTCTCACCCTTTTCCAAGATTCCTTCTTGTTTGTCTGTTGCCTTTCTCCTACTGAGCTGTCGCCCTGACTGTCCACATAAATCAACATGGCTCTTGTTTCTTGTTTTTCAGGCCGTGTGCCCTCTCCCTGTCGTTGTTTCATGTTGCCTGCTTCTCTGTCCTTATAATGTTTTCTCTTGCTGCTTTACCATATTACACAGACTTAGTTCCTTCAACGAGCAAAAATTGATAATCTTGTGTTTTAGGAGATCAGGAATCTGAAATGAGTCTCACTGTGTCACAACGAAGGCATGTAGATGCTCTAAGGTATAATGTCTTCTCTTGCATTTTCCACCTTCTCAGAGTCTACTCTTAAGGCTATTCAATGAGGGGACTAGGCCTCCTCATTTCTCATGGAAATATCCTTTTCTTCAGTTCAACTGAGTCAGATGTTAACCATACCTGTCAAATTTTTAGTGCAACATCTAGACTTTTAATTAAACAAGGGTACTCCAGCTAATCCAAGTGCACCTGTAAAGCTAGACATGTCAGTCCCCCTTTTGTCCACTTGGCATTCACACATTCCCTTACACCATACTTCGTCTCTAACTAAGTAAAATAAAGTCATGCTTCCACCAACTCAGCTCCGTATGATTGAAACTGTGAGGTCCCTTTTCCCCAACAACAAAGCCTAAGTTTTTGGAAGGTTTTCTCTCTTCTCCCCCAAAATGCTGTAACCTAAATGCTATGGCACACAGTTAAGTATTAGTATTACGTGTTACATTTGACGTGCAGGTTATAAGGAAGGAAGGAAAAATCTGACCCACATGCACATGCATAATCATACTCGTAACAAGTAAAGGGAAAATGCTAGAAAGCATTACACTCCTTATTTCTCTAACTTGTGACATAGCCATCGTTAGCATTTATAACACACGTCTTCCTTATCCATTTCAGTTTCTTTGCCCTCCGAAAGCACCTCAGCCAGTTTTGGTTTGTTTTTGTTTTTGTTTTGTTTTGTTCTTTGAGTTGTGTGATGACCCAAACCTTTACTCTTGAAGGTTCTGGGTCATTACCAATCTTTCCTCACCTGGCCTGTGGCATTATTCTCTAAATGACACGGCATGTGCAGTGAAACGCCGGGACACCTGCATCCTGATGTTTATAGCAGCAATGTCCACAATAGCCAAACTGTGGAAAGAGCCTCAGTGTCCATCGAAAGATGAATGGATAAAGAAGATGTGGTCTATGTATACAATGGAATTTACTCAGCCATTAGAAACAACAAATACCCATCATTTGCTTCGACGTGGATGGAACTGGAGGGTATCATGCTGAGTGAAATAAGTCAATTGGAGAAGGACAAACATTATATGGTCTCATTCATTTGGGGAATATAAAAAATAGTGAAAGGGAATAAAGGGAAATGAGAAAAAATGAGTGGGAAATATCAGAAAGGGAGACAGAACATGAGAGACTCCTAACTCTGGGAAACGAACTAGGGGTGGTAGAAAGGGAGGTGGGCAGGGGGTGGGGGGGACTGGGTGATGGGCACTGAGGGGGGCACTTGATGGAATGAGCACTGGGTGTTATTATATATGTTGGCAAATTGAACACCAATAAAAATAAATTTATAAAAAATAAAAAATAAATTAATAGTAAAAAAAATTTTAAAAAATGATGTGGCATTGTAGTTCTTTTTTTTTTATAAATTAATTTTTATTGGTGTTCAATTTACCAACATACAGAATAACACCCAGTGCTCATCCCGTCAAGTGTCCCCCTCTGTGCCCGTCACCCATTCACCCCCACCCCCCGCCCTCCTCCCCTTCCACCACCCCTAGTTCATTTCCCAGAGTTAGAAGTCTTTATGTTCTGTGTCCCTTTCTGATATCTCCCAAGAGATGCTCTATGTACTTCCTACACTGCAAGTAACTCTTGTTTTTCTTGCATTTGTTTCCTAGGAAACTGCCAATTTCCCTGTTGGTAATCATGATCAGTCTAGTATAGTAACTCCTGATGAATCATACCCATGAGTAGCCCAATGCAGCCTGAAATTATATTCATGTAGTCATTCTTGTGTCTCCTGATGGAAGCACTTCTGCCTTTGAAAGTAAGACCAGTAGCACTAAGGACCATAAGGTTGCAGTGAAAATTCCCTCAAGTTTTGCTAATCTGATCACTAGGGATAATCATGAGTGTTGCCATTCCTATTTCCATCCCTGAATCCTGGATGGGTGAATCCTGGCTATGGAAGAAATAGCACCATATATTGTACAGTGATTTAAAGCATATACAGCATCCTGGAGAGCCTTCCTTCAACCGTGTAAGTTATTGCCACCTCGCTGCTGGCGTATACCCAAACCTACACTGAGGTTATTTCTCTGGATCTGGAATGCATAACTATAATGGATATGCCATCTCCAGCTGGCTAAAAAGACTCGGTAGCATAGAGGGGTTTGACGGCATCAGCTCCATGGGGATCTTCCCATATGTCCCTATTCCAATAGTCAGGCTCCCATTTTTCAGTGTCCTCATTGTAAAGGATGACAGGCTGTACCTTATGGAATTCACTTTCCTGATAGTACATACACAGGCAGGGTAATCCTGGGTTTTGTTTAATAAATCTGAGCCTGTGGCTACATGTCAGGATGATCTTCAATGCAGATGTTGATTCTCAGGTCACTTATTGTCCTTTTTAAAGATTTTATTCATTTATTCATGAGAGATACATACAGAAAGAGGCAGAGACATAGGCAGAGGGAGAGGAAAGCTTCTTACAGGGAGCTTGATGTGGGATGCCATACCTGAACTAGGATCACGACCTGAACCGAAGGTAGACTCCACCACTGAGCCACCCAGTCATCCCTTGGGTCAGTTATTTCTTTTTTGGTCAGAGAATTTTAATCCTCCACATTACTCTTTCCTTTTCCCACTATCTCCAGTACAACATGGATATCCAGTCAACCTTCTTATGCTCCTTAGTTTGACTAAAATGTTTTAAGGCATCAAATACATACTGACCAGAACCTTCCCTTTAACAAGTCTCTGATTACCAGTATCACTGGTGATGTCCTGTGTATTGCAGCATCAGGCCCTGGGCTACCAGTGTCCTCTTTACCTTTGGGAGTTGGAGTCATCAGTGTCTTTCCAACTAATCCTCTTGAAGCACCAATTCAAGAAATCCAGAGTCAATTCAGGGAAATCATTAGGAAACTGTTTCTCATAGAACCATTCCTGGTACCAATATTTATCTTAGTCAGAGTTCTACCAGAAAAAGAAAACCATTAGCAAAGAAGCTTCCTTGGGGTCAAGAAAAAAAAAAAAGAAAGGAACAACCTGAGAGACCCAGAAGTACAATGTATCTGAGCTCCAATTTCTGACCACCCAGTAGCTTTCTTATGTTCTCCCTGTGTTCTTACTGAGCAGCTGAAGTAAGAAAGGGGACAAGGGGACCAGGAAGTGCTCATTCCAAGTTGATGGGATGCCTGACTGAGGGAGGTCACAGCAGGGAAGGAAAGGGCAGGGAAGGGTCATGTTCAGGCAGCACCAATGGTCTGGGAAGTGTCGGGCAAGGAAGGTCAGTGCCCACTCTGCAATCCATGGGAGGAAGAAATTAAACACACTTGGGGTCATGGGATTTGTAGAGGAAATATGATCAGGTCATGCACAGCCTGGGAAGTTCCCAGAGGAGGCTTGCAGATAAATAGAACATGCATGGACCTCAGCTCCCCAAGCTCGACGCAAGCCCCAGTACTCCTTTCCACATGGTGCCTGAGCTCTTTGCTCTCAGGAAGCCCTACCCTCTCCTGGAATCCTGACACCCTCAGCTGTACCAAACTTTAGAGAAGTCAGGCTCACAGATGTTCAGGAAGCCAGGGAACAGTACAAACCAGAATGGGTGGCATAATGGAACTGGTGGCCCAGGACACAACTTTGTCCAGGCTCCCTGTCTACTGCCTCAGAAATGTGAGTGAATGCCAGGCCCCTCCGGAGCCCACTGTACCAGCCAGGCCCTAAGTCCCTGGGCCCGGGAGAGAAGGGGCTACCCAGGCAGATCCTCAGAAAGTCCTCCTGTCCTCTTCCAGCCCCCCTTAGACAGTCATGGTCTTAGTCCCCTCTCCAGTACCAGCCCACTATTCACTGTTTCAGTACAGGCTTTACCAAGTTTTCCTGTACTGCCTTAGTTTTCTGCCTTGACCTCCCAGAGCGTGAGCTCAGGAAGCATTTGCTGAGTGCATCAGTGACTGACTCAATGAGCATTCCTGGGAGGAACGTGGCAAAGGAACGCTTACCCCCATTACAGAAGGAAAATCTGAGGCACAGAGAGTGTGATTGCCTGGCTTCGTATGTCCTGAGTGAACCCTGAGGCTGGGCCTCCTGAGTGTGAGGCCAGTGCTCTGCCTGCAAACACAGTCAGCCCAGGACACAAGTGAATGATGGACTGGACAAGTGTGGGGAACAGTGCAGAGGCAGTTGGGGCAGACAGTATGGAGGCCCCCTGATTCTAATCTTTGTTGGCCCTCTCAAAGGCTATTTTCCTCTGGCCACATCATGTTTGCTCCCCGTAAGTGTTCTTTTCTCAGAAATGGGATAATCATCAACCCAAGCACACCTCCTGAACATTTGGTATACTAGGCTGTACATTTTTTGCAGTCACGCTTCATGTCTGTTTTGCTGGCCACTGTGGCCAGGCACGTAGCTCACCGCCAGGCACAAAGTAGGTGCTCCTGAAATAATTGATGAATAATGGGGAGAAGGGCAAAGGGGAATGTGCCTGGGCATTATCACTGTCTGTTCAGAAGGTTTCCTTCCTACGGATTGTTAAGGTGCATCCTCTCAGTTAATGAACTCTGGAATCCCAGTCTAAGCTCTGCCCTCACCCTTTGCTCCCCCTCCAGGTGGGCAGGGCCATCCTCCCCTGATTGGCTAGGCCAGGTGCTCAGGGGATTTCAGCAACACTCAGGGAGAGTTAGTGACGCAGCAGCCCCTGAACCATGAGTGTCTCTGTACTGAGCCTCACAAGACCCCTGGACACTGTGTCTGGGCTCCTGCAGGTGGCCTCCCTGCTAGGCCTGGCTCTGCTGCTGCTCAAGGCAGCACAACTCTACCAGCGCAGGCAGTGGCTGCTCAAAGCTGTCCAGCAGTTCCCGTCTCCTCCTTCCCACTGGTTCTTTGGGCACAAGCAGGAGGTAGGAAGGGGCTGGACTGGGGAGAGGGGAGGGCAGGGCAGGCTGGGGCTCTGGGAGCATCATCCCATTCAGTAAATCCATCCCACAGAGGCTTCTTGTGTGACCAGGGCATGGGCTTCGGGAAAACCCAACTTACCTGCCAGTTCTTGGCTCCTCACCCCAGTCCTGGAACTCCCCAACTTAAAAGTAGCCTGTGCTGGAGCCATCAAGCCAGTCTGACCCTCCTTCCTTAGGGAGATTTCCAGGATCTGGTACAGCCCTGAGCCTTGAAGACAGTGGCTATTCCTTTGAGTCTTCCCCCTCCAGGCTGAGCAGCCCGAGCTCTTCTCTCAGACACACTTCCTGATGCTTCCCTACCCCAGCCATTCTATCCCATCCTCTCGACCTGGCCCTGGCCGGCCTGGGAACACACACAGCAGTACAATCATGGGCAAGGGAGAGAGTAAACAGGAATCAGGTGTGAGGTCACAGGAAAATAGGCTTACCTGCCAGATGGGGGGGTGATGTCTGTCAGGTGCAGGGACCAACTGGTTAGGTTTCCTCAAGAATATGGGAAGTTCCAGATGATGACTTCAGGGCTAAAACTTCAACAAGCAGATGGCACACATGAGAGGAGGGTGCCAGATTGAGGCAGGGAAAGAGTTTTGACAGTGAGTTGCACCATTAACAGAATCAGTTTCCATCCCAGTTCTTTCCCAAACCCTGGTACTGTGAACTCCTTGGGCTGAGGATGCCACCCCCCTTCCAGCACCACAGTGACCACCACAGAGCTGATCCCCAAGGGATGCCTGACCAGGCGATGTAGTGAAGAGGAAGGAGCAGCTAGTGGTTGCATGGAGACAGTGCCTACCCTCCAGCTCTGTCAGTACTGGTCCCATAGAGGGGGCACCGGCAACGGGGAAGGGCACGTGAGGAGAGGCTGTCTAGTGGTGTGTGGAATGAAGTAACAGGAGATGTTGCAGAGGAGGCGGCTAAGCAATTACAAAAAAGTGAAGCCAAAGACAGAAACTTCATGTCAGCCACTGGGAGACAGCCAAAAGCCACTTTCTTCCCAAAAACTGTTGCTTGAATGATTTCCAGCGTCTTTGTCCATTTTGAGAAATTTGCACTTTTGTCACAACTCTGAGTTAGGATTCAATTGAACAACCACTAAAATTTCCTCCACTGCCGTTCCCATTCAATGGATGGTATGGAGTCAGTAAGCAGACAAGTTCACTTAGGTAACTCATGTTACTCAGCTTCAGCCAGCTGAACACATAGTGCAGCGAAATTTACCTGCTCTAGCAAATCTGACTTTCTGTACCTCTGTTATTGGCTAAGCCAGGAGTAGATTGCCACATGTATTAGGTTAAAGTTAATCTTTCAGGCCAGATGACAAGTGATAAGTGGGACATGGAAGCATGTGGGCTCAGAACCAAGGTATCTAGATTGTATCCAGCTCTGCCACTTACTTCAAATGAACTTGCTCTGTGCCTCTGATTCCTCATCTGCAAAATGAGGATCATGATGAGGAGTATAGCCTCATGGGAGTTTTACTAATCTCTGAATGTTGCCTGGCACAGATAAAGATCACAGTTACACTCTAATTTATAAAACTTGAAGGTCATAGTAATGTTCATGAAGGACAAACATGTTCGTAGGTTAGCAAACTTGCTGCAGTAACTAGGGCTGAAATCGGTCAAAATTATGAAAGAGGAGCACTTCTTTCACAGTCTGCGAAATCCAAGACCCACCAGTCCTTTCTGACCCTGGGTCGTCCCTTCTGCCTCAGGCAGACTCCAGGCCAGGACAGCCCATAGCCCCTGACAATGGAGTGTCTGTGCTGCCCCTTTATTTCTGTTCACTGTCTCTCCTGGTTTCTCTTTGGGGCATTTTTGGCGGCCCCACTTCCAGAAGGAGCCAGGTGGGAGCAGCTATAATGGAGCATTGCCTGCATGAGTGGCCACAGTGGACACCGGGTATTTGCCTACAGGGTTACCATGGGCACACTTGTCTACCAGAGTCTCACCTAGCTTGGGCCAGCCCAGTTCAGGCTGAGATGGAAGTCCCAAGAGGTTTTCTGGAGGGCTGTCAGATCAGTGGGGGTCAGAGTGACCCAGAAAGAGGAAGAGCCAAGCAGAGCACCGTTTAGCTCCATCGGGACCCCAGAGGAGCTATTGACACTCCTCAGGAGCAGGAGTTTCTGGAAGCTTGAAGAGTAAGCAATCAGAAAGAAGGCAGGCAACTCTGCTGAAACAGGATCCCTCAGAGACTTCTCCTAAACAGTCTTGAGAAAGGAGAAAAATAAGTGGGAAATATCAGAAAGGGAGACAGAACATGAAAGACTCCTAACTCTGGGAAACGAACTAGGGGTGGTATAAGGGGAGGTGGGCAGGCGGTGGGGGTGACTGGGTGGCGGGCACTGAGGTGGGCACTTGATGGGATGAGCACCGGATGTTATTCTATATGTTGACAAATTGAACACCAATAAAAAATAAATTTATTAAATAAAAAATAAAAAAATAAAAAATAATAAAAAAAATTTAAAAAATTACCAAAGGATGAATATCAGCCCATCAAACATAAGAGCACAATCTATTATAAAAAATAATGGACAGGGATTAAAAACAAACGTGGAAAAAATAGTCTTGAGGGGATCCTGTAGGATGAGGTAACATAACTTTGACATAAGAGGCTCCCACTAGGGGCACCTGCGTGGCTGAGTGGTTGAGAATCTGCATTTGGCTCAGGTTGTGATCCCCGGGTCCTGGGATTCAGGCCTGCATCAGGCTGCCTATAGGGACTGTTTCTCTCTGCCTGTGTCTCTGCCTCTCTCTCTGTTTTCTCAGGAATAAATAAATGACTCTTTATATATAGGCTCCCACTAGGGAGTCCCTGCACTGCATCCAAGGAGAAGGGTGGTCCCAGTGATGGAAATGACCTGGGAGCACAGAGTAGCCTCCTCAAGTGACTGGAGGACACTACTCAGTGTATGGGCCAAGGATGTCCCCCACCTCCACTCCCACTAGAACATAAGTTCTATGAATCTGGATCCTTATCAGAGCTAGCTCATCAGACAGTTCCAAACTCCTAATCACTGCCAATATGCAGAACTGTGTCCATAGGGCCATCCTGCCTTCCATCACCACTCCAAGCTAGGGACCTAATGAGGAACCAAGGTTGTATTGGTTTGTCTTTCCTTTGGTACAGTTCCAAACGGGTCAGGAGCTGCAAGTGCTTCAGAAATGGACAGAGAAATACCCTTGTGCCAGTCCTCGTTGGCTATGGGGAAGCAGAGTTAGCCTCGTAGTCTATGACCCAGACTACATGAAGATGATCCTGGGGCGATCAGGTGAGAGTTAAACTTCTCCTCTGTTGGAGTAGCCCTTCCCTCTTGGTTACATTCCTAGGGGCACTGTGACATTCCAGCGGAGACTGCTGGCAAAGCCATCAATATTTGACCCTCGAGGTATCATCCTCCCAGCCTAAGCAAGCAGAGGGCCAAATGCAGTTACTCAATTGGAATGCTTAAACATCTGTGAATAATTACCTATTTCTCATCTCTCTGATTTCTTTCTCAGTCCTCTACTTTTCTCTTCATTTCTTTCCACTTCCTTCCATCCTTCCTTATTTCCTTCTTTTCTCCTCTGTTTCTTTCTCCTTTTTCTAAACAGGAATTTATTTATTGCCTAGGTATACATGAAATAGATCAATAAGTATTTATCCATTGTATTTTCAGTAAATGGACACATCTCCTATGTTTCTATCTTCCTACCACAGTATTGTTATTCAATTATTCCTAGAACTGAAGACAATTTCCTAACCATGATGGCTTGGGTAAACACCGCTGGACCCCCATTGGGTCATGGGAAGGCTGAGCCACCAGTAAAAAAACCAATTAGCTTCTGTTTTTTTTATTGGCAGTGAAGAAAAAAGCTAAATTTCATGCACCTTCATACTCCATAGTGCTCTTCTGTGGGACACTGAGTCTGCCATCCTGAGTCCAAACTGATTATCAGGAAAGAAAAAGAGCCTGGGTTAGGAGGGAAGTGGGAGGTGGCTTGACACAAACTGCCAGCTGAGGATTATCGACAAGGGTTGGAGGGTAAAGGTGTGGACAACGGCTGTCTCCTGGGGACAGACTGACTTTGTTGGTCACCTCCAGTTTGCTGTCATGCCTTTCCTCCTTTCAGACCCAAAAGCTGGTGGTTCCTACACATTCATCACTCCATGGATAGGTAAGTACCTTAAACTAGGACTGTGGTCCACCTTCTGCTTAGGTTTGCCACCAACCATCCATTTGGCCCAGAATAACAAGAGGAGACCAGCACCACAGTGACTACACTAAACTCTGAATTAAGCCCCATTTTCTTCTTCTTTTTTTTTTTTGTATATCTTTTATTGGAGTTAGATTTGCCAACATATAGCATAACACCCAGTGCTTATCCCATCAAGTGCCCCCCTCAGTGCCCGTTATCCAGTCACCCCATCCCTCTGCCCACCTCCCTATCAACCACCCCTTGTTCATTTCCCAGAGTTAGGAGTCTCTCATGTTCTGTCTCCCTCACTGACATTTCCCATTCATTTTCTCTCCTTTCCCCTTTATTCCCTTTCACTAATTTTTATATTCCCCAAATGAATGAGATCATATAATGTTTGTCGTTCTCCGATTGACTTACTTCACTCAGCATAATACCCTCCAGTTCCATCCACGTCGAAGCAAATGGGGGGTGTCGTTTCTAATGGCTGAGTAATATTCCATTGTGTACATATACCACAGCTTCTCTATCCATTCATCTATGATGGACACCGAGGCTCCCTGCAAATTTGGTTATTGTGGACATTGCTGCTAGAAACATCGGGGTGCAGGTGTCCTGCCATTTCACTGCATCTGTATCTTTGGGGTAAATCTGCAGTGCAGATTTAGTTTTACAGAGTGGCTCTACCAGTTCACATTCCCACCAACAGTGCAAGAGGGTTCCCCTTTCTCCACATCCTCTCCAACATTTGTTGTTTCCTATCTTGTTAATATTCCCCATTCTTACTGGCGTGAAGTGGTATCTCGTTGTGGTTTTGATTTGTATTTCCCTGATGGCAAGTGATGTGGAGCATTTTCTCATGTGCTGTTGGCGATCTCTATGTCTTCCTCTGTGAGATTTCTGTTCATGTCTTTTGCTCATTTCATGATTGGATTGCTTGTTTCTTTACTGTTGAGTTTAATAAGCTCTTTATAGATCTTGGATACTAGCCCTTTATTTGATATCTTGCAAATATCTTCTCCCATTCTGTAGGTTGTCTTTTAGTTTTGTTTACTGTATCCTTTGCTGTGCAGAAGCTTCTTCTCTTGATGAAGTCCCAATAGTTCATTTTTGCTTCTGTTTCCCTTGCCTTCGTGATGTAACTTGCAAGAAGTTGCTGTGGCCAAGTTCAAAACGGGTGTTGCCTGTGTTCTCTTCTAGGATTCTGATGGATTCTTATCTCACATTTAGATCTTTCATCCATTTTGAGTTTATCTTTGTGTCTGGTGTAAGAGAGTGGTCTAGTTTCATTCTTCTATATGTGGCTGACCAATGTGCCCAGCATCATTATTGAAGAGACTGTCTTTTTCCAGTGGATAGTCTTTCCTGCTTTGTCAAATATTAGTTGGCCATAGAGTTAAGAGCCAACTTCTGGATTCTCTATCCTATTCCATTGATCTATGTGTCTGTTTTTGTGCCAGTACCACACCATCTTGATGACCACAGCTTTGTAGCAAAACCTGACATCTGGCATTGTGATGCCCCCGGCTCTGGTTTTCTTTTTAATATTCCCCTGGCTATTCGAGGTCTTTTCTGATTCCACACAAATCTTAAGATAATTTGTTCCAACTCTGTGAAGAAAGCCCATGGTATTTTGATAGGGATTGCATTAAATGTGTAAAGTGCCCTAGGTAGCATTGAAATTTTCACAATATTAATTCTTCCAATCCATGAGCATGGAATATTTTTCCATCTCTTTGTGGCTTCCTCAATCTCTTTCGGAAGTGTTCTGTAGTTTTTAGGGTATAGATCCTTTACCTCTTTGGTTAGGTTTATTCCTAGGTTTCTTATGCTTTTGGGTGCAATTGTAAATGGGATTGACTCCTTAATTTCTCTTTCTTCAGTCTCATTGTTAGTGTATAGAACTGCCACAGATTTCTGGGCATTTATTTTGTATTCTGCCACACTGCTGAATTGCTGTATGAGTTCTAGCAATCTTGGGGTGGAGTCTTTTGGGTTTTCTATGTACAGCATCATGTCATCTGCGAAGAGGGAGAGTTTGACTTCTTCTTTGCCAATTTGAATGCCTTTTATTTCTTTTTGTTGTCTGATTGCTGAGGCTAGGACTTCTAGTACTATGTTGAATAGCAGTGGTGAGAGTGGACATCCCTGTCGTGTTCCTGATCTTAGGGGAAAAGCTCCCAGTGCTTCCCCATTGAGAATGATATTTGCTGTGGGCTTTTCGTAGATGGCTTAAGATGCTGAGGAATGTTCCCTCTATCCCTACACTCTGAAGAGTTTTGATCAGGAACGGATGCTGTATTTTGTCAAATGCTTTCACTGCATCTATTGAGAGGATCATATGGTTCTTGTTTTTTCTCTTGTTGATATGATCTATCACATTGATTGTTTTACGAGTGTTGAACCAGCCTTGCATCCCGGGGATAAATCCCACTTGGTCATGATGGATAATCTTCTTAATGTATTGTTGGATCCTATTGGCTAGTATCTTGTTGAGAATTTTTGCATCCATATTCATCAGGGATATTGGTGTATAATTCTCCTTTTTGGTGGGGTCTTTGTCTGGTTTTGGAATTAAGGTGATGCTGGCCTCATAGAATGAGTTTGGAAGTACTCCATCCCTTTCTGTCTTTCGGAAGCTTTAGTAGAATAGGTATAGTTTCTTCTTTAAACGTTTGATAGAATTCCCCTGGGAAGCCATCTGGCCCTGGACTCTTGTGTCTTGGGAGGTTTTTGATGACTTCTTCAATTTCCTCCCTGGTTATCGGCTTGTTCAGGTTTTCTATTTCTTCCTGTTCCAGTTTTGGTAGTTTGTGATTTTACAGAAATGCATCCATTTCTTCTAGATTGCCTAATTTATTGGCGTATAGCTGCTCATAATGTGTTTTTAAAATCGTTTGTAGGGGATCCCTGGGTGGCGCAGCGGTTTGGCGCCTGCCTTTGGCCCAGGGCGCGATCCTGGAGACCCGGGATCGAATCCCACATCAGGCTCCCGGTGCATGGAGCCTGCTTCTCCCTCTGCCTGTGTCTCTGCCTCTCTCTCTCTCTCTCTCTCTCTCTCTCTCTCTCTCTGTGACTATCATAAATAAATTTTAAAAAAAATTAAAAAAAAATATTTAAAAAAAATAAAATAAAATCGTTTGTATTTCCTTGGTATTGCTGGTGATTCCCCCTTTTTTATTTGTGATTTTATTCATTTGAGTCTTTTCTCTTTGTTTTTAATAAGGCTGGCTGATGGTTTCTCTCTCTTCTTAATTCTTTCAAAGAACCAACTCCTGGTTTTGTTGATCTGTTCTGCAGTTCTTCTGGTCTCCATTTCATTGAGTTCTGCTCCAATCCTTATTAACTCTCTTCTGCTGCTTGGTTTAGGTTCTATTTGCTATTCTTTCTCCAGTTCCTTTAGATGCAAGGTTAGCTTGTGTATTTGAGTTTTTTCCAGTTTTTGGAGGGATTCTGATACTCTGATGTATTTCCCTCTTGGGACTGCTTTTACTCTATCCCAAAGATTTTGAATGGTTGTATCTTCATTCTCATTAGTTTCCATGAATCTTTCTAATTCTCTAATTTCCTGGTTGACCCTTTCATTTTTTTTTAAATTTTTATTTATTTATGATAGTCACACACACACACAGAGAGAGAGAGGGGGGGGGGCAGAGACACAGGCAGAGGGAGATGCAGGCTCCATGCACCGGGAGCCCAACGTGGGATTCGATCCTGGGTCTCCAGGATCACGCCCTGGGCCAAAGGCAGGCGCCAAACCGCGGCGCCACTCAGGGATCGCGACCCTTTCATTTTTTATCAGGATGCTCTTTAACCCCACATGTTGAGTTTCTTCCAAATTTCTTCTTGTGATTTGAGTTCAAGTTTCAAAGCATTATGGCCTGAAAATATGCAAGGGACAGTCTCAATCTTTTGGTATCGGTTGAGACCTGATTTGTGACCCAGTATGTGGTCTATTCTGGAGAAAGTTCCATGTGCACTTGAGAAGAATGTGTATTCAGTTGCATTTGGATGTAAAGTTCTGTAAATATCTGTGAAATTCTGGAACAAAGTCCTTGAGAACGGCATGTGGGTCAGCTGGCCAGACATGGATGTAGTGGACCCAGGGAGTAATCCCGTCGACCTTGAGAGTGGTGGGAGTGGTCAGGATCACGATGTAAGGTCCCTTCCAAGGAGGTTGAAGTGTCTGGTGTTGGTATCTCTGCATGTACACCCAGTCACCTGGCCGATATCGATGGGGGTCCAGGGGTGGCCCAGTCTCATAGAGGGCCCTCAGCTTAGGCCACACCTGCTCATGGGTTCGTCGTAATATTTGGAGGGAGAAAAGAAGTTGGTGATCATCAAATTCAGCAAACACCTCGGGTTTTAAATTGGGGATAATAGGTGGAGGAAGACTGAACATGATCTCTAGGGAGTCAGTCCCATCTTATATGGGGAGTTCCTCACCCTATATATGGCGAAGGGGAGGAGAGTCACCCAGTCCCCACCAGTCTCCAGGGCTAATTTAGTTAAGGTCTCCTTTAATGTTCTGTTCATCCTCTCTACCTGTCCTGAGCTCTGGGGCCTATATGCACAATGTAATTTCCAATCTGCCCCAAGTACTAGTGCCACTCCCCGTGTTACCTTAGAAAGCCAACCAGACAAGGACAATCCCCTAAAGCTAAGTGTGCGAGTTCTCACTTATTTCCCACCTCCAAGACTCCCTAGTGTGAGGTTGTCCTTCAAAATAAATGGGGATTAGACTTAGTCTTCTTACAACAAAAGGGGGGAGGTATGTGCTGCCTTAAATGCAGGGTGTTGCTTCTTTGCTGGAATGTAAATGGGAGCGAGAACAGCAAAAAGGTTGGTTAGAATCCTGGTTTAATCATTCCACCTGGCTCACTCTGAGAGCAACCTGGACCCATGATTGGGTGCTTCCTTAGGTTCCTTTGAGAGGGGGAAATGTGGAGGCTGAAAAAATTAAGGCCATTCCACTTTAAGTTCAGCGTTAGCACAAGTACAGTCATCCCAGGCCCCTGTGAATAAGAGCTGAACTTTACCTTACTTCAGTTACAGGAAGAAAACAGCTTACAGCTTAACGTCCTAGAAAGCCCCATACTGGGATAAAAACAGAGCCTAAGCCAAGGGCAGGAAGCCCCATATTAGAATAAGAACAGAGCTCAATGCCCTTGAAGGCCCCATATCAAAATGTAAACAGAACTTGAGGAATTGCTCCACCCCTTTTAGAGGTCCCCTAGACCAGCCCTTAAAACTAAGCTGAAACCCACCTTGGGGTCCAAGTCCCTGCTCCGCTGTGTCAGGTACACTTGGACCCAAGCTCGAGCTTGTAAATAAACCCTCTTGTGTTTGCATCGGAAAAAATAAATAAATAAATAAATAAATAAATAAATAAATAAATACCTGTGAAATCCATCTGGTCCAGTGTATCATTTAAAGCTCTTGTTTCTTTGGAGATGTTGTGCTTAGAAACCTGTCTTTTGCAGAAAGCACCATGTTGAAGTCTCCCAGTATTAGTGTATTATTATCTAAGTATGTCTTAACTTTGGTTATTAATTGATTGATGTACTTGGCAGCTCCCACATTAAGGGTATAAATAGTCATGATTGTTAGGTCGTCTTGTTGGATAAACCCTTTAAGTATGATATAGTGTCCCTCTTCATCTCTTACGACAGTCTTTGTGATAAACTTTAATTTATCTCATATAAGGATTGCTACCCCTGTTTTCTTTTGAGGATCATTTGAATGATAAATGGTTCTCCCTCCAATCTTTCGTTTTCAGGCTGTGGGTGCCCTTAGGTCTAAAATGAGTCTGTTGTAGACAGCAAATAGATGGGTCTTACTTTTTTATCCAGCTGAAACCCTGAGCCTTATGATGGGATCATTTAGCCCATTCACATGTAGAGTTACTATTGAAACATATGAATTTAGTCTCATCATAATACCTAGTCCCTGTTTTGTAGATTGTTTCTTTGGGCTTTCTCTTTCTTTTACAGGGCCCCCCTTAATATTTCTTGTAAGACTGGCTTGGTGGTCACATATTCTTTCAGTTTCTGCCTATCTTGGAAGCTCTTTATCTCTCCTTCTATTCTGAATGAGAGCCTTGCTGGATAAAGTATTCTTGGTTGCATGTTCTTCTCATTTAGGAACCTGAATATATCCTGCCAGTCCTTTCTGGCCTGCCAGGCCTCTGTGAAGAGGTGTGCTGTTAATCTAATAATTCTCCCCATATAAGTTACGGATCTCTTGTCTCTTGCTGCTTAAGGATTTTGTCTTTATCTTTGGAATTTGCAAGATTCACTATTAAATGTAGGGGTGTTGAATGGTTTTTATTGATTTTAGGGGAGGACCTCTCTATCTCCTGGATCTGAATGCCTATTTCCCTCCCCAAGTTAGGGAAGTTTTCAGCTATGATTTGTTCAAATACACTTTCTGATCCTCTGTCCATTTCGGCACCCTCTGGAACCCCAATTAAACATAGACTTTTCCTTCTGAGGCTGTCATTTATTTCCCTTAACTTTCTTCATGGCCTTTTAATTGTTTTTCTCTTTTTTCTTCAGCTTCTTTCCTTGCCATCCACTTGTCTTCTATGTCATTCACTCATTCTTCTACCTCAGTAACCTTCCCCTTAGGACCTCCAGTTTAGATTGCATCTCATTTAATTGATTTTTAATTTCAGCCTCATTAGAACTAAATTCTGCAGTCACGAAGTCCCTTGAATCCTTTATGTTTTTTTCCAGAGCCACCAGTAGCTTTATAATTGTGCTTCTCAATTAGCTTTCTGACATTGAATTGTAATTCAAATTCTGTAACTCTCTGGCAGAGAGTACTGTTTCTGATTCTTTCTTTTCTGGTGAGTTCTTCTTTCTAGTCATTTTCCTCAGTGCAGAGTGCCTAAAAATTAATTGTACGTGTTAGAAGCCCGAACGCTTCTCTCTGTAGCATTCCATCTATTCTCTCTTTAAATCTCATGTCGAATTCGTAGATTTCAGGATGATTTGAAGGTTATCTAGGTAGGTTGGTCGGGACAGGTGACTCGGGGATTCTACTCCACCAACATCTTGCCCTGCCCCTGCTCGTTTTCTGATAAAACCCTCACCCCATCTAAATGGTGGTGGAGCCCTCCTGTAGCTCAGCTTCTCCCACATTACTTCTCAGGACTCACCATTGAACTCAGCCTGACTTTTTACTGAAATCCTTGTAAAACCTATTCACTGCTCTGTTTATACCTCCATCTCACAGCTGTCATAACCACTTCCTGGCCACAGGCTTTAGAAAGTCCCCTTCTTGACATGCACTCGCCATTCCTGTTTTGCCAAGGATGCCCTTCTTTTCACACCCTGGGTTCCTCCCAAATTGTCCCTGGATAACTCAAGGAAGGCCCCTTCCCACCCACCCCCCTAACACACTGTGGTCCAGGGTATGGTTTGCTCATGCTGAATGGAGAGACATGGTTCCAGCACCGGCGGATGCTGACCCCAGCCTTCCACTATGACATCCTGAAGCCTTACGTGAGACTCATGGCTGACTCTGTCCAAGTGATGCTGGTAAGTCGAACCCTACCTCACCTGCACACTCACACCCACAGCACAGTTCACAAAGTCCATTCTCAGATAGCTGTGTTCTTCAGAAATCCATTAGCATGGCCTCTGGAATCATACACTTACACCCTGCAATGAGACACAGCTCCCGGAAGGCAGAAGGCACAGGAAAGCACCCAGGCACCCACTTTCATCCACTCTTTGTTCACTGCCCACAGGAGAAAGAAACAAGGTGGATACAGGGTTTCCTCTCCTCACACTTGCATGACTTTGGCTTGGAAAGGAAGAGTAGTCAATATCTATGGACAATAGGACAAGCTGCCCCTGGCTGGCCTGGGCAGTAGCAGCTTCAGTGGCAGCAGGGACATCCCAGGATGTCACTCAGTGGGTTCTGTGGTGGGATTGAAGGCTTCTGCATGGATCTTAGCCATTCCATGGAGGGAAATGGAGACCAGGTCTCAACCCCCAAGGTTGGGTCCACCAGAACACCACCCCTGAGCATGACCCTATTGCTCACTCACTGTACTCAGCTGACATTTGCTGAACAAGAGGAATTGACATCCTAAATACTCCTTTCTTAGGAACCCGTGTACTGGCACCTTAATATTTTTTTGGCCAGGACACTTGTTCCCTAAATTGAGACCTTATATTTCTCTATGTAGGTCAGTCCCAGGTCAGAAAAGATTCCCCCTTTATCTCCTGAGCAACAATGTTTCCAGTTGGCTAAAAGGTGATTTTCGCCATACCTTATCCTGAAGTCAGCCTCAAGAGTTCATTCTAAATAAAATAACAACAGTTTCTGAGAAAATACTCAACATATCATAAATATTCGGATCTATGGTCCTAAATCGATGAAACACAACTGCTCAGAAAGAGAGGATACGACATCAGAATCTGTGGTGAAGCATAGAGAGCCTAGCCTCGTGACCCTGGACGTTCCAGAGGAATAGAGAAGGATCAATGTGTCCCTCTACACAGGACAAGTGGGAGGAACTCCTCACCCAGGACTCACATCTGGAGATCTTTGAACATGTCTCCTTGATGACCTTGGACACTATTATGAAGTGTGCCTTCAGCTACCAGGGCAACCACCAGGCAGACAGGTCAGTGAAATGCATAGCAGCAGGGTCCTATTTCCTGCCAACTGGTGTGGACTAATCGGGAGGCAGTTCGAGCAACCCAAAGAGCAGCATTCTGCAGAGAGCCCCAGTCTGACACAGTCAAATTCAGCCCTACCAAACCTGCATTAGGCACTGACCCTGATCCCTGCCTCAGGAAGAAGCCTGGCTGCCCAAGTCCCTCATAAATGCCTTGGTCTCTGGGGCATAAGACAGAAATGTCAGATGCTTAGGGTCACCTGCACCAATTCCTGAGGAAACCTCCACCCACAGCCCCACTCCACTCCAGTTCAGATGCCTCCCTCCACCTAGTCCCTTCTGCCTCATCCCCCTTCAGGAACTCCCAGGCCTACATTCAGGCCATTCGAGATCTGAACAACCTGGTGTTTGCCCGGGTGAGAAATGTTTTCTACCAGAAAGACATCTTCTACTGGCTGACCTCTGAAGGCCGCAGGAACCACAAGGCCCGCCAGATTGCCCATAAACACACAGGTTGGACTCTGCCCTCTGGGAACCTCCCCTCCTTCATTAGGTACTACCCAAAAGGATTGGCTCTGACCCCTCAGGCAGAGGCCTGCCCCTCAGTGCCCCTCCAGAAACTGGGACAAACCCACTGGGATTTTCCCCTGGTGCACCTGTTAGGGCACCCGGTGTTTGCAGGAAGTTACATGCGTTACAACATGGGTGAAAGTTGAATGAGACCCCCTGCCAGTCACATACAAGCAGAGTCTCTTTGGGCTGTGCTGTTGAAGGGAGGGCTGACATGAAAATACCTGATGCTAGAGCTCTCACTCTGGCATGCACACCCATTGCCAAACTCCTCCTGAACCCCCTCGCACCATGAATGGGGCACAGAGGGCAGGTGGGCTATGTGGCTGGCTATATGCCTGGGCACTCAGAGCTCTCAACTCCGCCTGGGAACACTGTTTGGGCAGACCGAGTGATCAAGCTGAGGAAGGCTCAGCTACAGGACGAGGGAGAGCTGGAGAAGGTCAGGAACAAGAGGCACTTGGACTTCCTGGACATCCTCCTCTTTGCCAAAGTGAGTGTGGCTGGGGAGGCCTGAGCATTTGCCTACAGGTGGGGAGCAAGGGTGCAAACTCAGTCTCCCCTGTCTCTGGGTCTTCCCAGATGGAGAATGGGAGGGGCTTGTCTGACAAGGACCTCCGTGCAGAAGTGGACACGTTCATGTTTGAGGGGCATGACACCACAGCCAGTGGCATCTCCTGGATCCTCTATGCTCTGGCCACACACCCCGAGCATCAGCAGAGGTGCCGGGAGGAGATCCAGAGCCTTCTGGGGGATGGTACCTCCATCACCTGGTGAGTGCTCATGAGACAGGAGGGCCCTCCATCCTCAACTAGAGGACATCCTGGTTGCCAGGGCCTATCCCGCACTTCAAGGCAGCTTTCTTTAGGGAGCACCTGGACCAGATGCCCTACACCACCATGTGCATCAAAGAGGCATTGCGACACTATCCACCAGTTCCAGGTGTTGGCAGAGAGCTCAGCAAGCCCATCACCTTCCCTGATGGACGCTCCTTGCCCAAAGGTATGGCCTTCACTACTCTCACTCTGTTAGCACTCAGTGGGGACACATGGGAGGTGTGAAATCCACATGTCCTGGGGCAGCTCTGAAGCTCTGTGGCCCCATTTTTTTCCACAGTAAGTGGGAACGAGGTTGTAGTTGGGATGTAGGATGCTTGTAACAGAATCAGGCCACATTCAAAGTTATATAAGAAATAGTGAAAGAGATTATAGGGGAATGGAAGGAAAATGCGAGGGAAGAATTAGAAAGGGAGAGAAAATATGAGAGACTCATAACTGGGAAATAAACAAGGGGTAGTGGAAGGGGAGGTGGGCAGCTGGATGGGGTGACTGGGTGAAGGGCACTGAGGAGGGCACTTGACAGGAGGAGCACTGAGTGTCATACTATATGTTGGCAAATCGTACTTCAATGAAAAAAGTACTAAAAAATAAAATAAATGGGAGTTCCCCTTTGTTCCCGAGAGAGAATATGCTCTGTTTTTTTTTTCTGCACATAACATGAAAAGTGTATCTCAATTCTTAGACATAGAAGGAATCGAATCCTAAGTTTCTATCCTCATCCACAACAAACATTCAATCTCCAAGGGCTCCATCATTTTATGACGCTATATTATTCTCATCGATGGCACTGACATTTTGTGAGTTTAAGCTATATATATATCCTATTCCTGACTCCAGCAACACAACTCCTGGGGATTTCTGTCTTCACTGATACCCCTTTTGGATATCATCCAGATTTTATGTAATTATAGGACAACAACTTGATGACAAATGCAAGAAACTATATACCTGCCAGTTAAAATAATGACTCACGGGCCCTAAGTGGCTCAGCATTGGTGTATATGTCTTGGCTTAGGTCATGATCCTGAGATCCTGGGATGGGGCTCCCTGCTCAGTGAGGAGGCTGCTTTTCCCTCTGACACATCCATGGTCATGCACTCTCTCACTCTCTCAAATAAATGCAGAAACATTTTGTATAAAAATAGTGATGACTCAGTACATTGCACATTCTCTACAAGAGATGTTGGCTTCAGGAAGGGGCTTCAGAAATAGCATACAATTCTAATTCCCAAGATTTGATAGCTAAAGAGGGAGAGCCCTGGGGAAGGCAGAGTTCTTCCACACTTACGGGGTTGAGTGCATCAAGCATATCAGGAAACCGACTCTCATTCTTCAGATGGCCCACTCCCAGGGAGCCCTCAGGTTGACAGAGAGAGCAGCTGGTGACCACATCTGAGGTCCCTGCCATGGTCTAGTCTACCTTTTAGCTCACCTCTGCTCTGAATCCCAACCCTGCCACATCCCAGCTGGGTGGTCTAAGGCAGTTGCTCTGCCTCTCTGAGGCTTAGGTGCTCAGGTGAACAATGGGGATTGGGCCTTCCTTGGAGGGTTGTTGTGAGATGGATTAGTCAATGCATATTCCCCAAGGGCTCATGGATGGTACTTGGTAAACCCGAGTTGTCCCTTGAGCTGCTCTCTAACATAAGCCTCCGGTTCTTTCTGCTTCTCACCCTGGTCTGGATATCTACTAATCTGGCCACATGTGCTGTGCCATGTCTGCCCCACCTCTCCTGCTACACTATAATTTTCCTCAGAGTGATGAGAAGTGACTCTCATAGCAGCTGCCAAGCTGTGTGAGCAAACACCTGGCCCCGCAGGCAGGTATGACCATTCTTCTCTCTTTTGCTCCACAGGATTCTTAGTCTTGCTCTCCTTTTATGCTCTTCACCACAACCCGAATGTGTGGCCAAACCCAGAGGTATGATGGCCTTGGGAGGATGGTATGGGGGAATCTCTGCACGTCAATCCTTCCTCCCATTCCATTTCTGGGTGTGTCCTGAGGTTGAGAGGAAGGAGAAGCTAGACCACACCTATCCCGGCCCTGGGGTTCCTCTGCAGGTGTTTGACCCTTCCCGCTTTGCACCAGATGCCTCTCGACACAGCCATGCTTTCCTGCCCTTCTCAGGAGGATCAAGGTGAGGCACTTGTACTGGGATGGGAGGAGGGGCTGTTTACTAGGAACATTCCTGATGTTTGTCACTTCCTACATTTACATGGGTGTTGCAGATATGCCCTGACATGTTGATGTGCTGGGAAAGAGGTGTGTGTCTCTATGTATGAAAGAAATTTGGTAATCACTGCAGGCTATGGAAACTTTGACCCATTTGTCTCACTCAGTCTCCAGCCACAATTCAGTGTCAGTGGCTATTCAATGGCTCAAGCATTCTTGTGATTTCTTCACTTTATGAGGATGACTTTACAGTATTGGACATTCTCACGTGTAGTTTTTAACTGTTGTCAGTTAGACGTCAGGATGGAATCAAAAGATTTCTTTTGCACACATTCTTAAACAAGCCCCTCTCCCCACTCAACCCTCACACTGCACCGATGCCTAGGGACGTGAGTTTCCACCTCAGCTGCCTGCACGTCTGAAATATTTAAGCCTACAGAGGAAAATTTCCTGCGATCTCTTAAGGGCCTCAGAAGTATTCAACTTGTGACTCTAGTATTTCTAGAAAATCCACGGTTTTTTATATGTACATGAGAGGTGGCATTTGAAAGTTAATGGCATATGAAATAGAAAGCACACTTGAAATGGCTGTTCAGGTGCATGACAATTCTCCTGTGTGAAATCCTCTTGGGCTGCTGAAATTGTCCTACAAATCGTAACTTCTGTAAACTTTTTAAGTAGTTATTCATAAAATGCAGTTTAGCAAATACAAAAATTTTCAACCTTCGAACTAAGTGAATCCACTCTCTAGAATGGGACTTAAGCAAACTATTCTCCAGATACTGGCTCCAGGATTTGGTAACTCCCTGGGATTGATTCCTTCCTGGTAGACATTGGTGCAAGACATGTGGATGCCAGTAGAGACAGGAGAGGTGTAGACAGCTCAATTCCTAGCTCAGAACTAATGGGGACTTTTGTTTATTCCTTTCTGCTTTCCTATTCAATTCAATAAACCTCATGCAATGTCTAAGACTAATTATTAAGCCTGACTCTGTGCCAAGGCTATGCTATGAGGTGGGATACTGTCCTTGCCTCAGGGAATTTGCAGTCAAGAAATCGATGCCTCTACTCAAAAGACACATCATCCATTCATTCTTTCTTTCCCTCACTCATTTACTAATTGACCCCACAGTAGGAAGTTCCGTGTTTCTGGCACAGTACTCCTGTATGTGAAAGTGACATGCTCTTGAGTAAAGTACCATGTGATTCAGGGTCCAGGACTGAAGAGGCACAGCCAGTGGGGGGGGGGGGAAGGGGGCGCTGAGGGCAGACTGTCATTGCCCTTAGCCTTGGGCATTTGGCAGACAGAGGTGGAGGGAGGGCATTATCTGGGATAATCTCAGCAGTAAGTGAACTGATATACCAGCTGGACAGGTGACAGGTGACTGTGCAAACAACCCAGAGAGGGCTTTGCTGCTAGGATGAGCCATGTGGACATGCTTACCTGTGATGGAAGACGTGGGAGGTTCTGAGTATGGGAGGGTGGGGCATCAGGAGATGGACCCGAGGGAGGAGACAGAGAAGTCCAGGTGAAGTGGCAGCTGAGGGATGATAGGCAGGGACCCTTCTGCAGTAGAATTAGAGATGACAGCAGCTGGTTGAATGAGGGGCCGAGGGGAAGGCAGGAGTCTGGACCCAAACTGAGAGGCAGATGGTGCAGCAGCTTGAGCATCCCTAGAGCTCTGCCCCTGCAGGAAGCTTCCCTGTTGGCCATCCTGACTTCCTTACCCAACTCTATCTTGTCATTTCTATGAGGATCTGGATCCCTGTGTGCTCATGTGATATGGTTAGGACCTGAAGTATGGCCCAGCCCAACCCCTCTGGTGCCCTGGTCTGGCTCCACATTGTGAAACTAGAAATGGCTGGTGCAGAGAGCAAAGAACCTAATGATTAACTGTTGTAGTGATCACTTGATTTTGCTCTGAGTCCCAAAGTGTTGATGCTTCTGTAACAGGATTTAAGGCCTGCTGAGAGCAGAGGTAAGAGGAGGAGCTAATTCTGAAAGAGTTTAGGCTTTTGGTAGAGGTCAAGGGGAGAGTGTTAACAAAGCAAGGCTTGGGGTAGAGATGTGCATGTGTCCTGAGGGGAAGGGATCAGGGCTGGGCCCATGCAGGCTGGCCCTGAAGGGACTGTTCCTGGCAGGGGCTTTGAGGCCACTCCTCACTTGCTTTTCCCTCCCTGACCCAGGAACTGCATCGGGCAGCACTTTGCCATGAACGAGTTGAAGGTGGCGGTGGCCCTGACCCTGCTCCGCTTTGAGCTGGCACCAGATCCCTTCAAGATCCCTGTTCCAACTCCAAGAATTGTATTGATGTCCAAGAATGGGATCCACCTGCATCTCAGGAAGCTCCTCTAACCCTTGTGGGGACAAAGATGAGCCCCGAGGGCCTCCTGCCTCCCATTCTGTCTTCCTGTCAGTCTCTCCTGTCTGCTGGCTTCTGCTCACTTCCTGCTTCCCCTCTGTCCACCTGCCAGCCTTCCTGCTCTCTTGCTCTTGCCCATCAGACTGTCTGTGCTTCTCTGTCTCACCTTTTCCAAGATTCCTTCGTGTTTGTCTGTTATTATTCTCCTAACGAGGTGTCACTCTGACTGCCGATGCAAATTGTGATTTCTTGCCTGTCCTTCAGGCTGTCTGTTATCTCCCTGTCATAGTTCCTTGCCGCCTACTTGTCTGTTCCTATAAAGTTTTCTCTTACTTCTTAACCAAGTTATACAATCGTAGTTCCTTTAAAGAGCACAAATTGATAATCTTGTGTTTTAGGAGATCAGAAATCTGAAATGAGTCTCACTGGGTAGCAATGAAGGCATGTAGATGCTCTAAAGGATAATGTCTTCTCTTGCATTTTCCACCTTCTCAGAATTCACTCTTAAGGCTATCAATCAGGCTAATCAGTAAGGCTAAGCGTCCTGATTTATCATGGAAATAGTCTTTTCTTCAATTCAACTGAGTCAGATGTTAACCATAACTATCAAATTTTTAGTGTAACATCTAGACTTTTGTTTAATTAAACAAGGGTACTCCAGCCAATCCAAGTGCACCCATAAAGCAAGACATGTCAGTCCACGTTTGGTGCACTTGGCATTCACACATTCCCTTACACCATACTTCCTCCCTAACTAAGTAAAATAAAGTCATGCTTCTGCCAACTCAGCTCCCTATGATTGAAGCTGTGTAGTCCCTTCTCCCCAACAACAAAGGCCAAGTTTTTTGAGGGTTTCTCTCTTTTCCCCCAAACGCTGTAACCTAAATGCTATGACACAAACTTTACTAGTTTTACATGTTACGTTTTACATGTAACACTTTTTACATGTGCAGGTTATAAGACAAGGAAGGAAAAATCTGACGCACATATGTACATAATCATACTCATAACAAATAAGGGGAAAATGCTAGAAACCATTACACTCCCTATTTCTATAACCTGTGACATAGCCATCATTAGCATTTAAAACACCCTTATTCCATTACCCATTTCAGAGTTTATTTGCCCTCTAAAAGCACCTCAGCCAGTTTTGGGGGTTTTTCTTGCCTTGTACAATGACCCAAATCTTCACTCTTGAGGGTTCTGGGTCATTACCAACCTTTCCTCAACTGGCCTGTGGCATTTTCCCCTTTAATGACAGGGCATGGTAGGTCTAAGAGATGCTGTAGTACTTTCTTCACTCCAAGTAACTCCTTTGTTTTTGTTGCCTTTGTTGCCTAGAAACTGCCACTTTCCCAGTTGGTAATCATGATCAGTCTAGTACAGTCATTCCTCCTGATTCAGACCCATGAGGAGCCCAATGTGGCCAGCAAGTTTATTCATGTAGTCACTCTTGTGTCTCCTGGTGGAAGCACTCCTGCCTTTGGAAGTAAGACCAGTAGGACAATGGAGCATAAGGTTGCAGTAAAAATTCCCCCAAATTTTTGTAATCAGATTGATAGAGGTAATCATGAGTGGTGCCATTCCCATTTCCATCCCTGAATCCTGGATGGTTGAGCCCTGGTTATGGACGAAAAGAACCATATATTGTACATTGATTTAAAGCAGATAGAGCCTACTGGAGAGCCTTCCTTCAACCCTGTAAGTTATTGCCACCTCGCTGCTGCTGTATACCCAAACCTACCCTGAGGTTATTTCTCTGGATCTGGAATGCATAACTGTAATGGATATACCATCCCCAACTGACTACAAAGACTCGGTAGCATAGAGGGGTTCGATGGCACCGGTTCCATGGGGATCTTCCCATATGTTCCTATTTCAATGGTCAGGCTCCCATTTCTCAGTGTTCTCATTGTAAAGGATGACAGGCTGTAACTTATGGAATTCATTTTCCTTTTAGTTCATACACAGGCAGGATGATCCCTGGGTTTTGTTTAATAAATCTGAGCCCTACCTAAAGCCTGTGGCTATATGTCGGGATGATCTTCAATGCAGACATAGAAGCTTCAATCAGTGATTTCTTTCTTTGGTCAGAGAATTGGGTTTTTTTTCAGATTATTTTTATTTATTCGTGAAATACTCACAAAGATAGAGGCAGAGACATAGACAGGGGAGAACCAGGCTCCATGCAGGGAGCCCGATGGGTGACTGGATCTTGGGACTCCAAGGTCACGCTCTGAGCTGAAGGCAGACGCTCAACCACTGAGCCACCCATGTGACACTCATTCTGAGAATTTTAATCCTCCACATTACTCTTTCCTTTTCCCACTCTCCCCAGTACAACATGGATATCCAGTCACTCTTCTTATGCTCCTTAGTTTAACTAAAATGTTTTAAGGCGTCAAATACATACTGACCAGAACCTTCCCTTTAACAAGTCTGTGATTAGCATTATCACTGATGATGTCCTGTGTACTGCAACATCAGACCCAGGGCTACCAGTGTCCTCTTTACCTTTGGCAGTTAGAGTCATCAGTGTCTTTCCAACTAATCCTCTTGAAGCACCAATTCAAGAAACCCAGAGTCAATTCAGGGAACTCATTATCATTCCGCCTCTCTTAGAACCATTATTGGTATCATAATTTATCTTAGTCAACGATCAACCAGAAAAAGAAAACAATTAGAAAAGAAGCTTCCCCGGGGTCAGAAAAAAAAAAAAGAACAATGGGACAAACCCAGAAATACAATGTATCTGAGCTCCAATTTGTGACCACCCAATAGCTTTCTTTTTTTTTTTTAATTTTTTATTTATTTATTTATGATAGTCACACAGAGAGAGAGAGAGGCAGAGACATAGGCAGAGGGAGAAGCAGGCTCCATGCACCGGGAGCCCGACGTGGGACTCCATCCCGGGTCTCCAGGATCGCGCTCTGGGCCAAAGGCAGGCGCCAAACCGCTGCGCCACCCAGAGATCCCCACCCAATAGCTTTCTTATGTTCTCCCTGTGTTCTCACTGAGCAGCTTAAGTAAAAAAGGGGACAAGGGGACCAGGCAGTGCAGTTGATGGGATGCCTGACTGAGGTCACAGCAGGGAAGGAAAGGGCAGGGAAGGGTCATGTTCAGGCAGCACCAATGGTCTGGGAAGTGTCGGGCAAGGTAAGTCGGTGCCCACTCAGCAATCCACGGGAGGAAGAAATTAAACACACTTGGTGTCATGGGATTTGTAGAGGAAAGATGATAAGGTCATGCACAGACTGAGAGGTTCCCAGAAGAGGCTGGCAGATAGATAGGACATGCACGGACCTCAGCTCCCCAAGCTCGAGTTGTAGGCCCCAGGACTCCTTCCCACATGGTGCCTGAGCTCTTTGCTCTCAGGAAGCCCTATACTCTCCTGGGAATGCTGTCACCCCCAGCTGTACCAAACTTTAGAGAAGTCACGCTCACAGATGTTCAGGAAGTCGAGGAACAGTCCAAACCAGAGTGGGTGGCATAATGGAACTGGTGACCCTGGACCCAACTTTGTCCAGGCTCCCTGTCTACTGCCTCAGAAATGTGAGTGAATGCCAGGCCCCTCCGGAGCCCACTGTGCCAGCCAGGCTCTAAGTCCCTGGGCCCGGGAGAGAAGGGGCTACCCAGGTAGATCCTCGCAAAGTCCTCCTGTCCTCTTCCAGCCCCTCGTAGACAGTCATGGTCTTAGTCTCCTGTCCAGTCCCAGAGCTACCACTCTAAGCCCAAGCAACCCTCTTCCTGCACCTACGTGAGTTCGATAACCTGCTTCCACAGGTTCCTGTCATCAACCCTCAATCTATCCTGCCCTCACAGAGAGATGTCTTTCTATGCTGTAAAGCTGTTTTCCTGAGAGAGAGAGAGAGAGAGAGAGAGAGAGAGAGAACATCAGCTTGTCATGCTATGTAGAAATCTACTCAGTTGGGCCCCTGTTATGTATTGGACTGTTTTTGAGGACCTACTATGTGCAGGACATTGTCTAGATGTCTCAGGTCATGAGACAGACCTGATCCTACCCTTTATTCTATGGGGCAGACCAACACAACTAAACAATTAAGAAACATGAACGCGAGCGTGTTGTGGCCCGTTAATGGTACCAAGAAGCATCCAGGAATAAAAATACCTATTTCCCTTTAAAATGAGGCAACTCAAACTGAACCTAGTCTCTCTGAGATGGTGGTCAATGGGTCCAATGTGATCCTGTTTTTCTCCTCCATTTGTTTGTCAATCAGTAAGACTGCACCGAGTGCCACAAATCGGCACAGCCCTATGTCACATGCTTTAGAAGCATAAGGGTACAGGTTGCCCTGTTAGAACCTTCAACAGCTCTTTGGTTGGGCTGTCTGGATCCCAGATGAATGGGAAAGATGTTACTAGTTAATCAATGTTGACCATGCCAGTTGGAGAGGATGTGGAGAAAGGGGAACCCTCTTGCACTGTTGGTGGGAATGGTACAGCCACTCGTGCAGTCTCTCTGGAAAATTGTGTGGAGGTTCCTCAAAAAGTTGAAAATAGTTCTGCCCTACAACCCACAATTGCACTGCTGGGGATTTACCCCAAAGATACAGACGCAATGAAACGATGAACAGTTTCACCCCGATGTTTATAGCAGCCGTGTCCACTATAGCCAAACTGTGGAAGGAACCTAGGTGTCCATCGAAGGATGAATAGATCAAGAAGATGTGTTCTATGTATACAAAGGAATATTAGCCATTAGAAATGACAAATACCCACCATTTGCTTCGACGTGGATGATACTGGAGGGTATTATGTTGAGTGAAATAAGTCAATCTGAGAACAACAAACATTATATGGTCTCATTCATTTGGGGAATATAAAAATTAATGAAAGAGAATAAAGGAAAAGGAGAGGAAAGAGTGAATATATCAGTGAGGTTGGCAAAATATGAGAGACACCTAACTCTGGGAAATGAACAAGGGGTAGTGGAAAGGGGGTGGGTGGGGGGTTGGGGTGACTGGGTGATGGGCACTAGGGGTGCACTTGGCAGGATGAGCACTGGGTGTTATGCTATATGTTGGCAAATTGAACTCCAAAAAAAAAAAAAAAAAAACAGAAGAAGAAGAAGAAAGAAAAAAAAAAAAGAAAGAAATAGCCTCCTGGCCTCAGGAAAAAAAAAATGTATATCTCAGAAAAAAAAAATGTTGACCATGCCAGCACAATTTAGTGAGACTTAAGCTCAGACTCTACAGACAGTTCTGCATTCTGCTTTCATCACTTCATTGTAAGCTCTACTCACATCATACAAAATTCTCAATGACTGTGAAATCTAGCTACATGGTATTCTCCACACTTGCTCACAAAAAATTCCCTGCATAGTGAGGCTTGTATTTATGGTGATATGTGGGATTGATCCCCAAAGCATGCTTCTGCACCACGGTCAGGGATCAAACAGAAGAAACATAAAATGCCCTGCAACTATGGGAGATAGCATGTGTGCACTGGAGCCTGGTTTTGAGCAAATGGTTCACAGTAATGCCTCTGGGGCCATACCGCCTGAGTCTGAATGCTGTCTCCACCTCTTGCCAGTAGAGTGGCCCTGGGCAGGCAGCTAAGCACTTTGTGCCTTACTTTTGCCACTTAGACTACAGGTTTCTTTGTTTTTTATTTGACATTTTTTACTTTAAATTGCTGTTAGTTAACATCTAGTGTATATGTTTTCCAGAGTACAATTTAGTGATTTATCAATTACATTAACACCCAGTCCTCATTACATCAAGTGCACCTTCTTCATGCCCATCACCCAATATTCCCATCCTCACACACCTCCCCTCCAGGTACCCTCTGTTTGTTTCCTATAGTTAGGCTCTTAAGGTTTGCCTCCCTCTTTGTTTTTATCTTCTTTTATTTTCCTTCCCTTCCCTATGCTCATCTGTTTTGTTTCTTAACAAAAAACATATATGTGAGTGAAATCACATGTTTTTTTTAATCTTTCTCTGACACATTTCACTTAGCTTAATGCCCACTAGTTCCATCCATTTCCTTACAAAGGACAAGACTTCATTCTTTTGGATGGATGAGTAATATTCCATTCTGTGAATTTATACCACTTCTTTATGTATCTGTCAATGGACATCTGGGGTCTTTCTATGTTTTGGTGATTGTGGACATTGTTGCTATAAACATTGGAATGAATGCATGTGCCCCTTCAAATCACCGTGCTGGTTTCCTTTGTGTAAAAACCTCGTAGTGCAATTGCTGGATTGTAGGTAGCTCCATTTTCACTTTCTGAGGAACTTCTATACTGTTTCCACAGCGGCTGCACCAGTTTGCATTCCCACCAACAGTGTGAAACAGTGAGCCTCTTTCTGCATCCTCACCAGCATCTATTGTTTTCTGAGTTGTTAATTTTAGCCATTCTGACTGGTGCGAGGTGGTTTTGACTTCTATTTCCCTGACGCTGAGTGGTGTTGAGCATTTTTTCATGGTCTGTTGGTCATTTGTATGTCTTCCTTGGAGAAATGTCTGCTCGTGCCTTCTGCCTCCTCCTTGACTGGATTTTTTGTTTTTGGGGTAATGAGTTTGATAAGTTTTTTAAAATTTTTATTTATTTTAATTTTTGCCAGAAAAAAATAATTTGGTTTTGTAAAAATAGATTTTGGATAGTAGCCCTTTATCTGATAAGACATTAGGTAATACCTAATACCTTCTCCCATTCCATCAGTTGCCTTTTAATTTTGTTGATCATGTCCTGTACTGTGCAGAAGCTTTCTGATCTTGATGAGGTCCCAATAGATACTTGCATCTGGAGGCATGTCTAAAAAGAAGTAGCTGTGTCTGAGGTCCAAAGGGTTGCTGCCTGTTTTCTCTTCTAGGCTTTTGATGGTTCCCTGTCTTACATTTAAGTCTTTCAACCATTTTGAATTTCTTTCTGTGTATGGTGTAAGAAAGTGGTCCAGTTTCTTTCTTCTGCATATCACTGTTCAGTTATGCCAACACCATTTGTTGAAGAGATTGTCTTTTTCCTACTGGATATTCTTTCCTGCTTTGTCGAAGATTAGTTTGCCATATTGTGTGGGTTCATTTCTGGGTTCTTTATTCTGTTCCATTGGACTCTGTGTCTGTTTTTGTGCCAGTGCCTATTGTGTTGATGATCATAGCTTTGTAATACAGCTTGAAGTCTGGGATTGCAATGCCCCCTGCTTTGCTCTCTTTTTCAACATTACTTTGGCCTTTTCTGATTTGATACAAATTTTAGTGTTGTTTGTTCTAGCTATGTGAAAAATTCTGGTGGTATTTTGATAGAGATTGCACTCCATTTCTTTGTGTCTTCTTCAATTTCTTTCGTAAGTGTTCTATAGTTTTCAGCAGGGACCTTTTACCTCTTTGGTTAGGTTTATTCCTAGGGATCTTACAATTTTTGGTGCAATTGTAAATGGGATCAATTCCTTCATTTCTCTTTCTGCAGCTTCATTATTGGTATATAGAAATGCAACAGAGGTACAAACAGAAGTACATTGATTTTATATCTTGCAACTTTGCCTAATTCATATACCAGTTCTAGTAATTTTTTGGTGGAGTCTTTCCAGTTTTCTACATAGAGCATCATGTCATCTACAAAGAGCAAAAGTTTCCCTTCTTCCTTACCGATGTGGATGCCTTTTATTTCTTTTTATTGTCTAATGCCCGAGGCCAGGAATTCCAGTATTATATTGAACAATAGTCGTGAGAGTCAACATCCCTGTATGTTCCTGACCTTAGGGGAAAAGCTCTCAGTTTTTCCCCATTGAGGTTGATATTAGTTGTGGGTCTTTCGTATATGGCCTTTATGATGTTGAGCTATGTATGTTCCTTCTATCCCTATTTTTGTCAAATGCTTTTTCTGCATCCGTTGAGAGGATCATATGGTTCTTATCCTTTCTTTTATTAATGTGGTGTATCACATTGATTGATCCGTGGATATTGAACCACTCTGGAGTCCAGGAATAAAACCCACTTGATCATGTCAATAATTCTTTTAACGTACTGTTAATTTAATTTGCTAGTAACTTGTTGAGAATTTTTGTAGTTGTGTTCGTCAGGGATAGTGGTCTTGTAATTCTCCTTTCTAGTGGGGTCTTTGGCTTTGGAATAAAAGTAATGTTGGCCTCAGAGAATGGGTTGGAAATTTTCCTTCTGTTTCTGTTTTGTGGAACAGTTTCAGAAGAATAGGTGTTTCTTCTTCTTTACATGTTGGTAGAATTGCCCTGGGAAGCTCTCTCCGTCCCCGAGCTCTTGTTTATTGGAAGATTTTTGATAACTGGTTCAATTTCTTCACTGGTTATGGGTCTGTTCAAATTATCTGTTTCTTCCTGTTTCGGTTGTGGTTGTTTATATGTATATGTGTTAGTATGCTTCTAGGCATTTATCCATTTCTTCCACATTGCCCAAATTGCTAGCATAGAGTTGCTCATAATCTTCCCTGATAAGTGTATTCCTGTGGTATTGGTTAGGATCCCTCTTCTTTCTTTTGTGATTTTATTTATCCAGGTCCTTTCTCTTCTCTGTTTATTAGGTCTGGGTAGCAGTTCATCAGTTCTGTTAATTCTTTAAAAGAACCAGCTTACAGTTTCATTGATCTGTTGTACTGTGTTTTTTAAAAAAATATTTCTGAAAAAAAGAAAAAATATTTCTGTATCATTTATTTCTGCTTTAATCTGTATCATTTCCCTTCTTCTGCTGGTTTTGGGCGTTATTTGCTGTTTATTCCCCCAACTCCTTTGGGTATAAGGTTAATTGTGTATTTGAGATACTTTTTGTTTCCCAAGGAAGGCCTGGATTGCTATATACTTCCCCTCTTATGACCACGTTCGCTGCATCCCAAAGTTTTGCACTGTCGTTTTTATTTTCATTTACTTCCATGCATATTTTTTTCTTCTTTAATTTTGTGGTTAATCTATTCATTGTTGTGTAGGATGTTCTTTAACCTCCATGTATCTGTGGTCCCTCCAAATGTTTTCCTTCTTTTTCATCACATCCTAGATTTATTACAACTGACCTGCTGGCAAAAGGATAGAACTGTTACATAAAGACTTCAATTCCATGTATGTATCTTGACTACGGGAGGAATTCAAAAAGAATACAGGGTAAAATATTCCAAAGCTCCAAGGAGCAGTTATGACACTGAGCTCCATTTTTTGGGTCAAACAAGGCAATATCCCTGCACATTAGCTTTTCGATAGTTTTTATACATTTTTTCTATGGCATAAGGGAAAAATAACCAAAGCTCATCATGTACAGTTCTTACATGTTTTCTGATTTTGTGAACAGTATACTACACCTTTCTGTTTCAATAGAAATACATTGTAATAAACTCCTTGCCCTTAAATCTATAGTTCCGAATTTTTCTTGTGCTTGACTTCAAGTTTCATAGCATTGGAAACTAGTGGCTGGAAAATATGCATGGTAGCATCTCACTCCTTTTGTTTTGTTTTGTTTTGTTTTATAGATTTATTTTCTATTGGTGTTCAATTTGCCAACATAAAGAATAACACCCAGTGCTCATCCCATCAAGATCTCACTCCTTTTGTATAGGTTGAGGCCTGATTTGTGACCCAGTGTGTAATCTATTCTGGAGAATGTTCCATACTCACTCAAAAATAATCTGCATTCTGCTGCTTTAGGATGAAAAGGTCTGATGATAACTGGCCTGGTATGTCATTCAAAGCCATTGTTTCCTTGTCGATGGTGTTTAGATGACCTGTTCGTTACTGTGAGTGGGGTGTTAAAGTCTCCTACTTTTATTGTATCTTTATCCTTGAGTTTCTTTAGTTTGTGATTAATTGATTTATATATTTGGCTGCTCCCAAGTGGGGGACATAAATATTCACAAGTATCGGATTTTTTGTTGGATAGACCCCTTTATTATGATATAGTGCCCTTCTTCATCTCTTATTAAACCTCTTTGGTTTAAAATCTAGTTTGTCTGA